CTCACTTTTTTTTCATTTATTTAAAATAAAGGTTTGATAACCCCATTTTTTCGCTTTAAAAAAATATACATTGTTAAAGGAAAAAATTATGAAAAGGTTTAAAAAAAACTAGGGGGCGCTTTATATTACTATATTTGTCCCAAACGGGAAAGTCCTAAATGGGGAATTAGGAACCCCTTTACTTTATTATGAGATTTCAATTGAACTTTAACTCCAAATAATTTTTATAGCTTTATGAGAGGGTTGATCAAGTTTAAAATTATATAAATGGATTTCATGATCAACAAATTATAAGGCCTTTCTAAGATCAAAGAATATGGCTTCAACTAATTTTCTGCTGTCGTCATCACGGGCCGTATTCATTTGGTCCTAAGTTATTTCTTAATTTAAAGTTATTTCTTAATTTAAAGATTTTTTAGTTAAATTTGTTTATCTAACGATATGAAAAGGACTTTAGAAACCACTAAACAAAGCTGTATAACCGAATGTTTGTCTTTTTTAAGACAAACAGACAGACAGTACTTTATACATAATACCAGTATGCACAAAATAACAGTGTTATTGGAACGGCAATTTGTCTTTCATATATCTTGGTAAATAAGAATTAGGATGATAATTTTCCGAACATTTTTTGCACCAAATATAAAAATAGGTTAACCGAGATGTTTTCAGCTTATCGGCGTGTCCTGATTTATTTAAACGGTTCATTATCATATATATAATTATATACTTGAACAGTTTCCTCTTCAACATTGACTACTCTGTAAACTTTCCCCAATACAACAATACCCAATGCAAATTTTATTTCCCTTTGAGTTCTTATCATTTCACTTATAACATGTCACTCCCCTCCTTTCGCCGCCCTTGGCGTCCGCAGTTGTGTCTGGATTTTGTCGGAGGCTGCGTCCTATGAAAGTTGCCTTTGCCTGGTTGAACTTTGTTTTCGTTTTTCATAAAATATCGTTAATGTAGAATTAAGAATTGAAGATTGGTTAGATCATAAACTTTTTAAAATAGAATAGGGTTATTAATGTGATTTAATGGTAGGGTAATAAAACTTATGCAACTGTAGTTATCAATTACTTCATATTGTTTTGTGATAGTGATATATAGCAGTTTAAACGTGCATTTAAAAACATATCTAATGGTTAAGAGATCCGAAAACATTAAAAACTGGAATACTTATCTAAGTTGCACTTGATGAATATTTAAATCTACTATTTGATTGTAACTGCTTCAAATAGTACATGCAGGTGTCATTGTATTATGTTTAAAGAAACTACCCATAAAACTACTTTCTAATCTTGATGCCGTTTCATTTTCAAAATGGTTGTGTCGTTTACTGTCACACACAAATGACTTATAACAAATTGATTTTAAGTGTTGTTTATCATAAAAATGAACTTTGTATTTGTAACATTTATTTATAAAGTTTAGTTATTGTTATGACTGTTTTATACGCCATTAGAAAATGGGGACATGAATAACCCCGGAAATGGTAATTATGTCTCGTGATGTTTTGTTAGTAATCAAGTACAAGTACTATATGAAGGAAAAGAAAACATTTTTTTTTAAAAAGGAGACAATGAGTCTAGTGTCCATTAGACAGAATAGTATTGATATCGTATGTACTAATCAACGCCTAGTTTTCATCTAAACACTTTTAACATGCTTTATTTAGAAGTATATCACACCATAGACAATGATAATAGTATTATTAAGGATTATACATGACAACGAACCAGTGAAGAAATAAATATGTATGTTTTTGGTAAGAGAGAGATACATGATCCATGTTTATGTAGCAAATAATAAACTGTTCGAAAACCAAATATCATAATTATATCTTTCTTCATATAAAGGTTCACACTCAAATCAATCAAAGAACACGATTAACAGTTTATCAAAAAAAAAAAAGAAAATACTTATGCAAAATGTGTCCATTGTAGACTATTTAAAGGGATTTTTTATGTGCACATATGCTATTACACATTCATTATTTCTCCATGCTATATTAGACAGTTAAAGAAACATCCATACAATCGAGGGGTATCACAAAATAGCAATTTAACACTTACATTCGTTTACGTAATAAATTATAATTCATTTACTAGACATAACATTCAGCATGCACAATAATTGTTTATCTATACTAGCTAATAGCTATTATAATTACAAGTGAGACTAATTAAGTTGAAATGTCATTAAGTGCACAACATGAAAACAAAAGCAAATTTAACATTTTGTTCCACCAAATATTGAATAAAAGGTTTAATTGGTATGATATAGAAGGAATCCGGTAAAAGAAGTCCAATGTTCCATGAATGTGCTTGGCGGATTGCTGCAGTCAGAAAGGAACACAGTGTCCCCAACGTTAAGATTAATCACGATAGACTGGGATATAGCAGCATGACCGTTGTCAGTTGAATCATCAGTTGGATCGACTTTCATGTACATCAGAGACTGTGTATTCTTGTAAATTTTACAGTAAACCATATCAACCCTTGATGATGCCCGTTTCTTCACAAATGTGACAGAAAAGTAGTACACACCAGGTAATCTACATGTGTAAGTTCCAGTTGAGGTACTAAAATGATATCCAAACTGGTAAATGGTACTTGAAAAGGTTAGTTTCCTTATTCCGTTTATCGTGTTGTATGAACTAGGTTTGGTCACAGAGAATGCAGACATGATAGCTGAAGTTAAATACATATTCTACACATCAATTACTGTCATGAAATTGAATGATGAAGTGATGAATTATTATCATTATATTATCAAACAATAATAAACTTTAAACAATTTTAAGCAATACTTAAAAACTCAACAACATCCACTTGAACGAAATAAAAATGTCTCCTTTTCTACAACAAGTGCGACACAAAGTCTGGGAAATATACTCCCAAATGCATTTGGTATTAAGTACTAGATACAAAAACCCTTAACTTAGGGAAGAGACCAATTTATTACACTTGTCTGGAACATGTTTTTATTTCATTACAATTATGATTCTTGGTTACCCCATGAGTAGGGAAAGTTTTAATCATAAAGGCATTATTTCCATGCAATTTTTGTTGTGATATTTGTATATGCCAAGTAACTAAGCTTTTGCCATTACACGACTCAATAGTGATACTTATTTATGAGTAAGAGTTATGAGGAAGAGTTTATGGCTTTAAATATATGTGATGACTTTCAACAATAATAATGTGTATTATTAAATTATTAAATGATTCAAGTTAAACGAACCCTCCCTACATAATACCAGTACTACAAAGAAGCACAACTATTACACCATAAAAGAAGAGAAAAATCAAAATGCCATAGTTTCTGTTTTATTATAATCAAGTTCGATAAACAGAACTTTCAGGTGAACAAAAGTAAACTACAAGTGACCAAATCTTACCATTAAAATTATACATTTTATATTTTATGAGAAGTTCTTTTCCTTTGACTCTAAAGCACAGTAATACCGCTTATTTATATGAACATATTATGATTGTAGTCAGGTAGTATTTCTTACTACCTGACAAAATAATTATATGATTACGCAGATGAACTAATTAATATTATAGGTTTTTTTTCTCTTAATTATTATTAAAATATTCAAACGTTTGTAGTAAGAAATGAAAAATGAGACAGGGGAATCAATTAGATTTTTTCAAAAGGGTTGTCAAATGACCGGATTTGGGCTGTACTTCAATTAAAAAAAGTAACATAAATAAAAATCAATCAAATAACACTAGAAGATGCAATTTTGAATCCCGTAAGTTTGAGGTTCCTTCTGAGCTTAGTGCTTTACCAATTGAGCTATTTTGACATTTATTACTCATCTTTACAATTATCAGTCAAACATACGATCAATGAGGACGTGCAATTTTTCGTTAACATTATAGATAATATGAAGAAAAATCCTGATAATCAAAACATAATTATACCTACCTTTATATCAATAACATAAAAAAACCACTCAGACAATTCATGTTTATGGACTGTTCAAAAATAATAATTATATTTAAATAAGGGAACCGATGTGCTGTTTTTGCCAAATATCATTGTTCTGCAAATGGAAGGTTTAGAAAAAAAAAACATTTTTAGACATGTTTATTCTTTTAATATATCCACATGAACTTAAATGATCCCTTTTTAACGCTAGGGTAATGATTTATTAAATATTTAAAGGTCTTTTTAGGCGAAAATTCATTTCAAATATCTAAGCTTGGGCTTTGAAGATTTTCCACAAGAAGACAAATTAAGTTTCTACCAAGTAATAGACCCCTTGGTAACTGTTTAAATGGACCCAAAGGACATTATTTATTTTGATTTTATAGAAGTTCAAGAGGCAATACTTCATGCCACATATTTAGCTTTAACACTAAAATATTTTCGGGCATTAGAAAACGTTCTTATAACAATTAATATCACCTTTACTTAAGGGCTTCTAAAAATGAGCCATTCAAAATATCTTAAGTAGGCATCCGTTAAACTTTCTGCAACTTGAAATAATATTATAAACATTATTCAAAAGATACAGAGTGGACAATGTATGACTTTAGCCTGTATAATCTCATTGTGAGTGCTATTTCTGACATAAAAATTGCCAGTCATTTAACTTTATATGTTGAACGTAAGATCCAAAAAACGAAACTGTTATTTCATTTTAGAAGCAAGCACAATTAACGCGATATTTTATCTGTAATTGTATACCTGGACAGTTTACTGCTGAACATTGACTCATCTGTAAACCTTCTCCAATACAATCCTTTCCTTTATTTTCTGGCATTGGACTTGTACATCTTCTTGTCCGTAATCGCCTTCCCTTGCCACACGTGACGTCACATGATGTCCAGCTGGACCAATTTGCCCATTGACCATCGACTGACAATATAAAAGTGTGATCTATACGTCAAATAAGTACCTCATACTTAACAAACGGAAATCGCTTTTTTTATTTAAGACGCATGCACTATTGGCGCGTTATTTCTTGTTATATTCTTTACCTGAACAGTTCACATCTGAACAATGGCTACTCTCTAAACTTTCTCCAATACAATCTTTTCCACCATTCTCTGGAAGTGGATTTGTACATCTTCTTGTCCGTAGTTGCTTACCCTTGCCACACGTGACGTCACATGAGGTCCAACTGGACCAATATGTCCATTGACCATCGACTGGAAATGAAAAATGTCGGTGCTATACGACAAAATGTAATTCATACCTAAATTTTTACAAACCGGAAACCGATATTCAATTGTTGACGCAAAAACAATTGGATTGTTATTAAATCTCATATTTTTTACCTGAACAGTTTACTTCTGAACATTGGCTAATCTCTAAAGTTTCCCCAATACAATCCTTTCCACCATTATCCGGCATTGGATTTGTACATCTTCTTGTCCGTAATTGCCTTCCCTTGCCACACGTGACATCACATGAGGTCCAACTGGACCAATATGCCCATTGACCATCAACTGGCAAAATAAAATTCCGTTCTTAAGGTCAAATAAATAATTCATGCTTAACAAACGGAAACCACTATTCAATTTAGAGGCAAACACCATTGGCTCATTGTTTCATGTATTAATCATTACCTGAACAGTTTACTTCTGAACATTGACTACTCTGTAAACTTTCTCCAATACAATCTTTTCCACCATTCTCTGGCATCGGATTTGTACATCTTCTTGTCCGTAGTTGCCTTCCTGTGCCACACGTGACATCACATGAGGTCCAACTGGCCCAGTATGCCCATTGTCCATCGACTTGTAATCAAAAAATCAGTTATATATGTCATATAACTATTTAATGCTTAACAAACGGAACTCGCGATATTATGTTTGAAGCAAACTCAATTGGCGCGTTATTTCATGTATTATTTTTTACCTGAACAGTTTACTTCTGAACATTGACTCATCTGTAAACTTTCTCCAATACAATCTTTTCCGTGATTATGTGGCATTGGATTTGTACATCTTCTTGTCCGTAATTGCCTTCCCCTGCCACATGTGACGTCACATGAGGTCCAACTGGACCAATATGCCCATTGGCCATCGACTGGAAATGAACAATATTGGTTCTAATGACGACAAATAAGAAATTCCTACGTAAATTTTTAAAACCGGAGACCGATATATAATTTTAGACGCATGCATAATAGTTAGGCCTCTATTATTTTTTACCTGAACAGTTCACATCTGAACATTGACTAATCTCTAAACTTTCTCCAATACAATCCTTTCCACCATTCTCTGGCATCGGATGTGTACATCTTCTTGTCCGTAACTGACTTCCCGTGCCACACGTGACATTACATGACGTCCAACTTGACCAATATGCCCACTGACCATCGACTGTCAGAAATATTATTTTATATGATACGTAATTATTTCATGCCTTCAATATGAGTACATAGCACTGTTCGAAATAGCAATTGCTAAATATGTTCTAGATTCTGTGTTAATGTTATCTGATTCTATAAAAAATAACCGTGTGTCAGCATTTTAGAACGTTTACCTTTCATTTTATATAAGCCTCATTTTTATTCATTTAAGTAACAAAATGGACTACATTGAACTATGATAGATGAGTACTATTTCCTCACTGAAATACAAGTTCTTGCTAAATTAAATGAATAAATATATCACAATTGTTATGGGTATTTCCACTTTCAAACGTTTTAAAAAAAAACTAAAGACCAAAGCCTGTTAATACACAGTTTCATGATGTTAGTATAATATTATGGTTATCATTATTTCTTTATAATGGAATGAGTTTTTTTGCTGCAAGTCTTCCCTATAGTAATTAATGTTTCAGAATATGTCTATAAAAGTCAAATAGGTCTACGATTTAAAACATTCAGAGCAGACACGAGATAGCCAGGTACATAACACCACGCGTCTTAACTTTTTCGGGCGTATACAAATGTGTAAAACGCAAGAGTTTAAAACGGAAACTGCTAAATAATTTAAGAGGCAAGCACTATTGGCGCGTTATTTCATGTATTATTCTTTACCTGAACAGTTTACTTCTGAACATTGACTCATCTGTAAACTTTCTCCAATACAATCCTTTCCACCATTCTCTGGCATTGGATTTGTACATCTTCGTGTCCGTAATAACCTTCCCGTGCCACACGTGACATCACATGAGGTCCAATTGGACCAATGTGCCCACTGGCCATCGACTGTCAAAAATATCGTTTTATACCATACGTAAAATAATTCATGCTTTAATAAATGAGTGCATAGCACTGTTTGAAAAATCCATTGCTAAATATGTTCTAGATTCATTGTTAATGTCATTCGATTTTGACGAAAATATCCGTTTGTCAGTATTTAAAACTTTTTCCTTTTATATAATATAAACCTCATTTTACTCATTTAAGTAACCAAAGGGACTACATTGAACTATGTTAGATGAGTATTATTTCCTCACTGAAATACAAATTCTTGCCAAAATAAATCAATAAATATATCACACATGTTATGGTAATTTCCTCTTTCAAACGTACCAAAACGTGTTAATACACAGTTTTATTACGATAGTAAAATATTATAGTTAATCATGATTTCCTTACAACGGAATGACTTATTATGCTGCAAGTCTTCCCTATAGTAATTAATGTTTCAAGATATGTCTATTAAAGTCAATTCAGTCTTCGATTGAAAACATTGAAAGCAGACACAAAATTGCTTGGTGCATAACACCATGCGTCTAAATTTCTTCGGGCGTATACGTGTAAGAGGCAGGAGCTAAAAACGGACACTTCTTTTTAATTTTAAAGGTAAGAACACTTGGGTACGTAAATTCATATATGATTATTTACCTGAACAGTTTACATTTAAACATTGACTCATCTGTAACATTTCTCCAATACAATCTTTTCCACCATTCGCTGGTATTGGATTTGTACATCGTCTTGTACGTAGTTGTCTTCCCGTGCCACACGTGACATCACATGAGGTCCACGTGGACCAATACGCCCATTGACCATCGACTGGAAATGAAACGTTCGTACTATACGACAAATAAGTAGTTCATGTTTTAAGTTTTAAAACCGGAAATTCATATTCAATTTAAGAAGTTTAAATTATTAGTGCGTTATTTCATGTATTATTCTTTACCTGGACAGTTTACTTCTAAACATTGACTACTCTGTAAACTTTCTCCAATACAATCTTTTCCGTCATTCTCTGGAATTGGATTTGTACATCTTCTTGTTCGTAATAGCCTTCCCATGCCACACGTGACATCACATGACGTCCAACTGGACCAATATGCCCACTGACCATCGACTGGCAAAAATATCGTACTATACGATTCATTGTTAATGTTATTCGATTATGTTGAAAAAACTGTTAGTCAGTATTTTAAACGTTTTACCTTTCAGATTATATAAGCATCATTGTTATTCATTTTAGTAACCTATTGGACTACATTTAACTATGTTAGATGAGTATTATTTCCTTACTAAAATACATTTTCTTGCCAAAATGAATGACTTGATATATCGCACTGTATGGTAATTCCTCTTTCAAACGTTTAAAATTAATAAAGGACCAAGACGTAGTAACACACAGTTGCAATATGATAGTAAAATATTATGATACTCATTATTACCTTTTAACGGAATGACTTATTATACTGCAAGTATTCTCAATAGTAATACTAGTACACGTTTCAGAATATGTGCATAAAAATCAATTAAGTCTACGGTTAAAACAAAACAAAGCAGAGACAAAATTGCCAGGTGCATAACACCATGCATTTAAATCTCTTCCGGTATGTACAAGTGTGTAAAACGCAAGAGCTAAACACGGAAACTGCTATTTAATTTTAGAGGAAAGACTAATTGGCGCGTTATTCATGTTTTATTCTTTACCTGAACAGTTTACTTCTAAACATTGACTAATCTGTAAACTTTCTCCAATACAATCCTTTCCACCACTCTCTGGTGTTGGATTTGTACATCTTCTTGACCGTAACTGCCTTCCCGTGCCACACGTGACATCACATGACGTCCAATTGGACCAATATGCCCATTGACCATCAACTGACAATAAAACGTTCGTTCTATACGACAAATAAGTAATTCATGATAAAGTTTTAAAACCTGAAATCAATATTCAATTTAAGAAGCTTAAATGATTAGCGCGTTATTTCATGTATTATTATTTACCTGAACAGTTTACTTCTGAACATTGACTAATCTGTAAACTTTCTCCAATACAATCTTTTCCACCATTCTCTGGCATTGGATTTGTACATCTTCTTGTCCGTAATTGCCTTCCCGTGCCACACGTGACATCACATGAGGTCCAACTGGACCAATATGCCCACTGACCATCGACTGTCAAAATATTGTATTCATTTTAGTAACCAAATGGTCTACATTGACCTATATTCGATGAGTAAAATTTTCTCACTGAAATACAAATTCATGCGGAAATAAATGAATAATTTATCGCACCTGTTATGGTAATTCCTCTTTCAAACGTTTAAAAACTAAGGACCAAAACGTAGTAATGCACAGTTTGATTATGAAAGTATACTTTTATTGTAATCATTATTTCCTTATAACGGATGATTTATTCTGCTGCAAGTCTTTCCAATAGTGATATATGTTTTAGAAAAAGTCCACAAAGGTCAATTCAGTGTACGTTTAAAAAGATAAAGAGCAGACACGAAATTGCCAGGTATATAACGCTATATGCCAAAATGTCTTTGGTCGTTTACAAATGTGTACAATCCAAAAGCTAAAAAACAGAAACTGCTATATAAATTTAGAAGCAAAATCAATCGGAGCTTTTTTCTTTACCTAAACAATTTATTTTTGAACCGTGTCTTTACTACAAACATGAGGTCCAACTGGACCAATAAGCCCATTGACCATCAACTGGAAATAAAATAGTCCGTTTTGTACGGCATATATAAGTACAGTAGAACTTCTATGAGTCGAACGTCGATTAGTCGATTTTCTCGATGTGTCGAAGAAAAATGAAAGTCCCGACTTTCCCTCCTATATATTCCTTATAAAAACCTATTTATGAGTCGAAATTTTATGTGTCGAATTTTTCGATGTGTCGAGGTTTTTTCGTGGTCCGTATAAAGTAAATCTAGTGCAATTTACCACAAATAAGTCGAAGTCGTTGGATTGTTTTGACACCTTTGATCTGGAGACATTTTTCACACCTTATCGGGCTGCGAAGACGATTTCTAATCAACTTGTGGGATAGGTGTAAATAACACAGCCGTGTGTTCAAACAGCCTTTGTTTGCGATAAAATGTGTGATAAAATGTTTAAATAGTAATTTGAAAACATCCTTGACCCGATGTCGCGTGAGAATAACACGCGAAATATTTACTATAAGCTGGTTTAGTTATCGCCCTTTCGTATTCATACGCCTTTTGTAACTCTTTTGTATATGTCAACGGTTAGTCCAAATAATTAGCCTTGAAAAACGTTATTTAACATGCTATGTTTATCATTGTAAAATGTAAATATCAGATTAATGATGGAAAAACATGAAATAGGTTTCGTTATAGATCTTATAATAAGGACTAGTCACGGGTCGAAATTTTGTATGGAATTGAGAGCGATTCATGAGTCGAAGTCCCGATGTGTCGAAGTTTTTTTACGCAAGTCCCTTCAACATCGACTTACCGAAGTTCTACTGTAATTCATGCTGAACAAACCAAAACCGCTATTCAATTTTAGGCGCAATAATAAATGGCGCGTTATTTCGTCTGTTATTCTTTACCTGAACAGTTTAATTCTGAACATTGACTACTCTGTAAACTTTCCCCAATACAATCCTTTCCACCATTCTCTGGCAACGGATCTGTACATCGTCTTGTCCGTAATTGTCTTCCCGTGCCGCACGTGACATCACATGTAGTCCAACTGGACCAATATGCCCACTGACCATCGACTATCAAAAAATCATTTTATACGATACGTAGTTACTTCATGCTTAAAAGTAGTGAATGCATCGTACTGTTTAAAATATTAAATTGCTAAATATGTACTAGATTATTTTTTTCAGTTATTGTTACAAGTAAGTATGTATCCGTATTAAAATCTTTTACATTCAACACATAAGCAGTTTAGTAACCAAATGTTAACAAATGGACTTCAATGAATTCTGTTAGATGAGAACTTTTCCTAACTGACATAGAAATAGAGAAAAACATAATCCCTAAAGAAAGTCCAACTAGACACAATTGAAAATGTTGCAAGCTCGGTTTGATTGAGCCTGTTAATGGACGGTACTGGAAAGTGCAAATTACCGTCCACACCCCCAGCACCGGCTTAAGCAGAATTCAACATTTAACACGAAAATGGTGAAATTTTAAATTAAGAAAATCCGCAGATGTGTTCATACGGCAATTATCATGGAACCTTCAATGTCATACACTAGTGCCATTCCATGAAAAGCGGCGTATGGTCCCCAAGTAAAAGAATGCATTTGCCCTAAACGAGAAAACAATGGGCGGAACTAAATAAATGGAATTTTGAAAGGGGATCTGAGGTTATGAAGCCTGCATATCACAGATTGACGTCAAAAGACAAATTTTAAAAGCAGGCAACATATCCTAAGGGTGATTATACAGTATTCTAGTAGGAATACTGGAACTACCCAAGTTGTAAAATGGCCAAAAAGAAGAAACTAAAAGTAACATATAACATGTATACACAACAATAATGTCGTGCTGAACATTATAACATCATTCATTAAATGTACGGGGAGACTTTTTACAGCCGCCACACGGCACAAATAACACGGATTTGACAATAAAATAGAGAAAAACATAATCCCTAAAGAACGTCCGAACAACAAAATTGAAAATGTTGCAGGCTCGGTTTGATTGAGCCTGTTTATGGACGGTACTGGAAAGTGCAAGTTACCGTCCACGCCCCCAGCACCAGTTTAAGCAGAATTTAACACAAAAATGGTGAAATTTTGAATTAAGAAACATCCGCAGATGTGTTCATACGGTGGTTATCATGGAACCTTCAATGTGACACAGTAGTGCCATTCCATAAAAAGAGGTGTATGGTTCCCAATTAAAAGAATGCATTTGCCCTAAACGAGAAAACAATTGGCGGAATTAAATAAAATGGAATTTTGAAAGGGGATCTGAGGTTATGAAACCTGCATATCACAGATAGACGTCAAAAGACAAATTTTAAAAGCAGGCATCATATCCTAAGGGTGATTATACAGTATTCAAGTAGGAATACTGGAACTACCCAAGTTGTAAAATGGCCAATAAGAAGAAACTAAAAGTACCATATAACATGTATACACAACAATAATGTCGTGCTGAACGATATCAAGGATCGAAAATACAACATCATTGATTATATGTACGGGGAGACTTTTTACAGCCGCCACACGGCACAAATAACACGGATTTGACAATAAAATAGAGAAAACATAATCCCTAAAGAACGTCCAACGCAACAAAATTGAAAATGTTGCAGGCTCGGTTTGATTGAGCCTGGTCATGGACGGTACTGGAAAGTACAAGTTACCGTCCACGCCCCCAGCACCGGCTTAAGCATAATTAACATTTAACACGAAAATGGTGATATTTTGAATTAAGGAACATCCGCAGATGTGTTCATACGGCGGTTATCATGGAACCTTCAATGTGACACAGAAGAGCCATTCCATGAAAAGAGGCGTATGGTCGCCAAGTAAAGAATGCTTTTGCCCTAAACGAGAAAACAATGGGCGGAACTAAATAAAATGGAATTTTGAAAAGGGATCTGAGGTTATGAAGCCTGCATATCACAGATAGACAGGCAACATATCCTAAGGGTGATTATACAGTATTCAAGTAGGAAAACTGGAACCACCAAAGTTGTAAAATGGCCAAAAGGAAGTTTTCTTGCAAAAAGAAATGAATTAATATCTTGTTATTTCCTCTTTCAAACGTGTATACAAAACTAATAAGGACCAAAGCGTATTAATTGCACAGTTGGATTATGATAATATATGGTTAACATAATTTCCTTAATTCTCAATGTAATCTAACTGAATGACTTTTCATGTTGCAAGTCTTCCATATAGTAATAAATGTTTTAGAATATGTCTATGAAAGACAATTAAGTCTACGGTTTAAAAATTCAGAGCGAACATGAAATTGCCAGGTGCATAACATTATGTATCAAAATGTCTTTGGTCGTATTCAAATGAGTACAACGCAAGTCAAGAAGCGGAAACTGCTATTAAATTTTAGAAGCATGCATAATTGTTGTGTTGTTTCATATATTATTCTTTACCTGAACAATTCACATTGGAACACTGTCTACTCTCTAAAGTTTCACCAGCACAATCTTTTCCTTTATTCTCTGGCATTGGATTTGAACATCTTCTTGTCCGTAGTTGCGTTCCAGTGCCACATGAGACGTCACATGAGGTCCAACTGGACCAAAATGCCCATTTACCATCGACTGGCAAAAAAGAAGAAAAAAATCGAATTATTCGACATGCTTAAATTTTGGTTCTATATGACAAATATATATCATGCTTTAAACCGGAAACCAATTTTAAGGTTTAGAAGGAAACACAATTGGCGCGTTATTTTATCTTTTATTCCTTACCTGAACAGTTCACATAATTATAAAAAATATGTTAACGTATTTTATTGCTACATGTTTATATGTTGAATATGTTGTAAAATTGTATATGCTTCTCAGTTCAATTTTGTTGAAGTTATTTAATGTTAATACATTAAAACTGTTCCGTCCAAAGTAAAAGTATCATGGTTACTTGTTTCAGAAAAGAAAGATACTGTAATTAGTTAGGATAGTAATATTTCTTTATTGTAATTCAAATTCTTGCTAAGATAAATGTTTAATCTCACTTTTTATTTTGCAAAAATGAACCGTTACAGTTATTCACACACATAGGCCAAACACAGTACATTATAGATCATAGACCAATTCAAAACGATGTGAAACATGCAACTCAGTATTCCATCTTCTACGACGACAGGAAAGATAGAATTATATTTCTTACCGCCATTTAACTCTTCTTGTGTAATAAAACGCTTGCGATCTTAAGTTTGATGAAGTCTAGAATGTTCATTATTTAATCCTTTGATCGTTTATTTTGTGAACATCTCTGCCAGTTCATCCAAATTATTTATGTCTTTGCTGTTTATTGTTAATAAATAAGTCATTTCATATATTTGAAAAAAGACATTATGGAACCAAAGCGAGAACATCAAATTTGATGCCGTTGTTGCAATGTTCTTTTTAAATATGTCTATGTTTAGAAAAATAATCATATACATGTTTTGTATTAAGAGGTTTAACAGATCCAAGACTACTTTTCATGTAAATAAAAAATTTCTTGAAACTAGTAACACATAGGTTCAATTTGAAATGAAGATTTTGACTCAGATGTTTTTATTTTCTTTTTTATATAGAATTGTACAATGCGGACCTGGGCAGCTGCCTTTTGAACATTCAGCGGTCTGAGAATTATTCCCAGTGCAATTGATTTCATCATTCTCTTGACCTAGATTTGTACATATTCTAGTACGTAAATGAGTTCCTTTTCCACACGTGACGTCACATGAAGTCCAGCTTGACCACTGTGCCCATTGACCAGCGTCTACAATTTAGAGTTTGCTTATATAAAATACATTAATTCTGTAATTTTGTGATATATTATTTATAAGATAGTGTTGTCAAATAAAAAACATTCGGTTAATAAAATTACAGGAGAAATTTGAACACATTTGTAAGAGGGCAAGTGTTCCTAGTCACAAAAACGAAACAAATGAGATTTGCATTGGTTGAGCAAACTGTAGAACAATTATGTTGTAAATAAATGTAGGTCATGGTTTCATTGAGCGTGTGAGTGAATCATTCTTTGGCTATCTCTTGCAATCATGAATGTTTTTTTCAAGATATATACACAAAACATTCCAAAATTGATTAATTAAAATTCCTGACATATTTTTTAAAATGTTTTCACATATATATGTTAGCCATGCACATTCCGTTCAGTTTTACTTTTTGAAGACAAATAAGCAAATTTGTGTTTGATAAGGTGAAAAAAGCATTGATTAAAAAAAGGTAAAAATTGGTAAAAAGGTAAAATTATTTTCAAAATTTCGCAATAAGATGACTTTCAATATTATTTAAATATTCAATATGACCGTTAAACACCTGTACATTTGTCGTTTGTGCATTCACCTATCTGCAAGCTTTGTCCAACACAGTCATTTATAGTGGGCACTGAATTTGTACATGTTCTTGTCCGAAGATGTGTTCCATTACCGCAAGTCGCATTACACGGTCTCCAGCTTGACCATGGTGCCCAACGACCTTCGACTGGAGTTTAATGATTATAAAAAAATATTTTAAGTAAAGAAGGAAAACTATTAAAATTAGTACAATGATATACAAAATTAAAATAAGCATGACCTAAAGTTACATTGAATGATTGTTTGTATAACAATATCAATTTTATATGCACTGTATGTCACAGAACAAATTGCTTTGGAAAATGAATTCTTTCTTTAGGAAGGGCAGGCATGGGTTTTGAAAAGGTTTGATGGTTTAAGAGCATGTTGCAAATTTTTATTATCATTAGATAAAGAAATGTAAACAAAGTTGTGTTTTGACTTACAAAGAAAATACTACATCAATATAACTTTACTAATTTCTAACTTATTAACATAAATCAACAGAAGCAAACGATAAGACTGGTAATTGACAAATAAGTTTTTTTTTAAAAACAAGACATTAAAAAAAACGTCCGAGAAATGAAGATAATAGCATTTCTGTTGCATAATGGACCTTTGATGTACAAGCCTTCGATATTTCTTTATCTAAATCACGTAGGAAGATCCATGCCAGATATAAGAAAACTTACCTGAACGCTTTGGCACAAAAAGGACTATTGCCAACGTGATAAGTGCAATGTAGAGAACAAAAATCAATACCGTTATAACAATATTTACACATTTCAGTCGCTTAAGTGTATCGTAATATCCGCTTTCCTTTTTTCTTTTATTTGATTCACCGAATTCCAGTGGCCCATAATTTTTGTTCACAAATTTCATAAATTGTGTTTCGGCAGTAGAATCAACTGTAGAAATGTTTGTATTTTCATACAAAATAGATTCCTTTGACCTAGAATCGTCCTCTTCAATATCACCAAAGTCCATTTTATGTTAAATGAACTGAATAAATGTATATAATAATAGCATGTTGTGGCTGAATTCTCTTGCGAATTCAAACTGGCTAACTGCCGAGATGAGGCTGAGATATAAAACAGAGATCGTTGCAACATGCACATGAACTTTACACCTTATCTTTAAAAACTTCCTGTTTGTTCATAATGACCCCACTTTAAGAATTTGTTATTTACGAAAGCCTGTTAAGTTCATTTGCAGATGAAGCATATGATTTCATATTTACAATTTATATCTAAGCGACTAGAATTCAGGTTTTTATAAAACAACAGTGGAAGCGGGATCTTCAAAATAAAGAAAAAATCATGTTATTGTCATGTCATATTAAAAATCGACGGATTTGGAAGAAATATAAACTAGGCCCTGGAATTATTCATGTCAGAAACAAAAACTCGATCTTAACTCTAGCTCTTAACTTCAATCTATTGGAAAACTCAAAACCAATCATGAAAATTATACACACCATCTCACAATGCTGAAGTCAATAACCCCGGAAATGGTATAAAGTGTCATGCTCTTTTGCTTGTAAAGTGTAAACGTACAAGTGTTTTGCACCAGTGTAGCATGAGATTTCGTCAGACCGGTGAAAATTGTAAGAACTTATAAATCTCACGGGCGGGTCTTGAAAAAATGTAAGCCGTGAGAAACGTAAGACCATTTTAGTGGAGAACGTTTCCTGTTGCACTTAAATTAAATACTGTCAATAATTCATTGCATCAATACAGTAATTTAAACGAGGATGGTTGTCTATATTCACGAGTTAAGGATAGCCTTTTTAAATCAATTTTATACTTTTTTATAACTCTCATATTGATGCTCGGATGCTCACGATTTTCTGCAAAATTAATTGGGATTGATATACTTTGAATGTAAGGAAATAAATAATAGGCCACTCCTTAGGTTTTTAAAATTAGATAAAATACAGAAGTGAATGTTGTTGTCCGTCTATGAGTGTATTATACAAATGATGAGTAGCGAACTGAAATAATCTCGTTTAGCCCTAAATAAAAGTGGACAGAGTAATCTCGGCCATAATCTTATGGTCCAATAATACGGTTCAAATAATCCCTATTTTCTGTATTAAAATTATCAACAGGAGTTTAATAACAAATGATAACACCAGTGTGGGTCAATTCATTTCACATATGCTAATACTTGAAGCCTCAGCCTTTTTATAAAATGGCTGGTGCTTATACCTATAGGTCACTTTTACCTGCACTGTGCTGTCCTTAGTATACACTTACATATTAGAACCTCTATGGTTTTAGCAGAGACTGCATATTTGGTTTCAGTCAATAGACGAGTTCCTTACGGCTTCTTTCAAACAGAAATACATTATTATATATCGTGGCAGAATACACTATTTTAGGAATAAGCGGGTACCAATTTTAATCACCAAACAATTAGTTGACAGGATTACTTCACCATTAATTATGAATTCCTGGCAAGGTTCAAACGCACCCAGGATAGGTCAAGTGATCTGAAGTAAGCTGCCTTAACCTTTTTTTATTCACAATAATGTAAAACCAACAAAAATGTTTCAATCATAAATATGTGAAGATAATCATATAAATTAAATTTCCGCTTGTCAAGTCATTACAGTAAAATCCATAAATTATAATGTCTGATTTTATGAAGAAACAATACCTCTCCACTATGAACTGGAAATATCATACTCCAAGCTTAGAAAGGGGTTTTTATTATGACCTTGCCCATCTAATCTTGTCAATGTACTTTCACATGCATAAATTCATACCCTCAGAATACCAAATGAAAAATACCCAGTCCCTTTTATAAATACAACTTCTTTCATAATTATCAAACCAGTTGTACATAAATAAATTTATTAATTTTAAGTGAATAATTTAACTGTTTACTGTCTTCATATGTCGTTGTGTATGTGGGTGTGGGGTGTGGGTGGAGGGGTATTTATAGACACTGACACTGGTGAAGTTAAATGGCAACTTTCAACCTAAACTGGTGTGTAAATTGAAGATAACTCTTAGAATATCACTTCAGACTCAAGCTTAGATCCGAGTGAGTAAGTTTGATAGACAGAGTTTAAAATATCGGGTGGGTTGTGTATTCTTATGGTATGGAAATATAGTAATCAGTGACTAATAACTCCCCATGAATCTGCCATCCCTTTGATTCTGTCTCATTTTCCTATCCTTTTATTAAACAAAATAAAACAAACATCATTATATATATGTGAAGATAGTTCTGGACTTATTTAATCCAAACTCATTTTTTGAAATGAATCTGTATTGATAATTAAATTTACAAATAAAATATTTAAAAACAAACACACCTCAGTGTCTCAGTAAATCTCTTAGAATAATAATACCAAATGATTTCATGACTGACATTTTAAACACTTTATAGGAGACTTATTAATTAGCACTTAGTCTAATAATATTCAATCATTTTTTCTCCTATGTGCTGCTTGATTGATAAGTAGTGTCATATTAGAGTTATATCCCTGTTTATAAGTTAGATAATTCTGTATATCCATGTTAAAGGTATGGGAAAACATATGACAACAATAATTCCTTGCATATCGGGCATGATAAGCTACTGTTTACATTGTGTTAAAAAACCTGTCTGAAACTCCTGGCTATAAAGGATATATCTAGCTCTTAATTAACTATTTATCGGAAACTCGTCTTGGCCTCTTTACCGGCGGAAACAATTACCCTCGAGCTAGATGTTCAGCTACCACCAGCATATATAATATTCGTATATAAAATCACGTATGAAAGGTTTGAATACATTCAGTGGTGTGTAGCAACCCAAACTTTAATGTTAAATTAATAAAACAGAAATTTGCACATTTCACCTCCGGTAAAAATCCAAGATGTCTTTCAGCTATCAAGCACTTTGAATAATAAATATTAGATGTTAGGTAAATAATATGCAACATTCAGTTGTTCAAATTCTGACATTTAATTATTAACTCTAACAGAAATAAATACTGTGCAGGAAAACCGTTCATACGTCATTTGAAAAAAGAACAACTATTTTCGCAACACATCATCAGTAACATTGATAGGAAAATAAGAATATTGATTTTTTTTATTAAACCAAGGCATATAATATGCAACTGGATATAACAAACAAACAAACAGAAAAATAACAGTCAAAACTCACTAATATCACAATATAAAAATACAATTATGACTAGCTAAATAAACAAAAAGGAGATCATACTGTTCATTTCAAGTACTGAATTCAATACAACATGTATTTTATATTGTAACAAAAAACAAACAAATAAACAAACAAAAACAACAAAAACAAACTGGTCATTCTTCAATAATTTGTCATTTTTTTGCACATTATTCTGCATTAAGACGATCTAATACTTATCAGTGAGGAACTGGCAATAGATAACAAGCACATATGAAACAGAAATAATGATAGTTAAAAGTATTTAGATGGGCATTTTGTGATAACGGTACATTTAACTTCAATAGTTTCAAAGGTAATATTCAAAGAATACATGTAATTTCTCGAAAATTCCCCATTGGTTGACACATGTCCTAGTAAGTTGTGATTTTGCTTTTTTACTTTATATTTGATGAATTCAGTAGTAATTTCTCATCTTTTCAAAAGAATACAAACAATGCCAGTCTTACACTGGTAAACATTTGGTAATTCTTTAATAGTTTGTCATTTTTGAAAAAAAATCAATAAGATGAAATTGAAAATGAAATTAAAAAATAATATACTCCACACTAAAAATGATTGGCATATGTAATTTATGACGGTTTGTTCAGAAATGCTATACTTAGAAGTTTAAAAAAGAAAGAAGAATAAAAAACTTCAGTCTTGTTAGATTGAAAGACAAAGTTACGTATATGTACATTTATTGTGTCAAGACTTCATGTGCAAATATATTTAAGATCTATGTTTTGTGCCAAAACAGTTTGTGGAATGTGATATATATATATCCGGATATTAAGCTAAATTCACGTAAAGGGAGATTACTAGGTGAAATGAACGTCACAAGTATCTGTTCTGCTACTTCAATTGCTTTGGTACTGTCAGAGTTGAAGCTTTTGTATTTGTAAGTATGTACAGTCTTAAGCAATAAGTAAAAAAGAAGTATATAAAAAGATAAATACACTGATTCAAAGTTGACCATACCTATTTTCAATTCTTTTAGGGGAAACGTCCTGGGGAAATCTACGAAATTCTTAAATAACGTCCAAATACATTGTCATACTTTCACAAAGATTTATCTTTGTACCTAACTATAGTTGTAGAAACATCAATGTGGAAATTTAGTTTGTACATAATTTCTACAAAAAAATAACTTTTAAATTCTACATACCTCATACAGGAATATTTTTTTTTAAACGATTCAGCAAAATGAAGACACGATATTTTAAAAAGAATGTCTTGACAATTTAAAGACACACTGATGTCACTTTTAACACAGAATTTAGCGCACAGGATTGACGACGATTTGTTAGAAACGTCTAGGAAAATTAATTGTTGTCGCGTGTTAATCAACTATAATCAAGTATGCGTAACAAAATAGTGTTATAACACAGACACGGATTCACTCTAAAATATATTAATCCGTAAACACTTAACATAAAGAATCAGACATATTACTTAAACATGCACGATAGTGTGTTTTATAAACTAACAAATAGCTGAAAACTTGAAATGAACATTGAGTGCACAGCGCGATAATTTTAGAAGATTTTTTTTCAAGCTTTAATAAAAAGTTAATTGTTATGATAAAGAAGGAATCCAGAAAAAGAAGTCCAATGTTCCATGTATGTGCTTGGGGGATTCTTGCATGCATCAAGGTAAACCGTGTCCCCAGCATCAAGTTTAATCACGATAGACTGGGTTATAGCAGCATGCCCTTTGTCTGTATCATCATCAGTTGGATCAACGCCTATGTGAATCAGAGACTGTGTATTTTTGTAAATTTTACAATAAACCAAATCAACCCTTGATGTGTCCCGATATTTCACCAATGTTGCAGAAAAATGGTACACGCCAGGTGTACTACATGTGTAAGTTCAAGTTGAGATACTAAAATCATTTCCAATTTTGTAAATGGTACTCGAAAAGTTTAGTTTTTCAATTCCGTTTATCGTGCTGTAGGAATCTGGTTTTGTCACAGAAATTGCAGTCATAAAGGCTGAAATAAAAGAAAAT